AGAATAGAATAGAATAGAATAGAATAGAATAGAATAGAATAGAATAACAGGCTTGGAAGGGGCCTTGAAGGTCTTCTAGTCCAGCCCCCTGCTCAAACAGGAAGACCCTAGACCATTCCAGACAAATCGTTGTCCAATCTCTTCTTAAAAACCTCCAGTGATGGAGCACCCACAACTTCTGATGGCAAGAACTTCCCTTGCTTAATTGTTCTCACCGTCACGAAATTCCTCCTTAGTTCCAGGTTGCTTCCCTCCTTGATGACTTTCTAGCCGTTGTTTCTTATCCTGCCTTCAGGTGCCGGTTCGGAGAATAGGTGGACCCCCTCCCCTTCTTCGGGGCAGCCCCTCAAATACTGGAAGACCTGCTATCATGTCACCCCTGCTCCTTCTCTTCCTTAAGCGAGGCATGCCCAGTTCCAGCAACTGCTCTTTCTATAAAACCCCATGAAGCATTGGATCAGATCAAGGCCCATTGGATCAGACCCGGCACTGGTTTCCCATGGCAACTTAGGAGATGCCTCTGAGCGCCTCACAGCAGGAGAAGGTGTTCCCCTCACCTGCCAGAATCCCCACCCCACAACAAATAGTCAATGGGGGCCTCTCCCCTGCACCCCGACCTCGGAGGCAGCATGGAGTCTCCTTGAGGCCTCCTAGCCTTTGATAGACCTGTCCTCCCCCCCCCACTCCGGGAATGGATCCATTTCCCCCCCTCCAGGTTGGTGGCCCTCCGCAGGTTGAGGTGTGAATTTTCACGCGTTAATTAGGCGCTTCGTGAAGAGGTGCTTTATCTGTGGCAAACCTTTAAGTCCGTTCAGCAATTAGATGCTTGAAAAACCTTGTCGGCACGACGCTAATAACGTGTTTGCGTGCGCGCGCATGAGGCACGGATGGTGAGGAGAACGTTCCAATTGGGGGGGGGGGGGTTTCGAAATCGTCTTCCGCTGGTTTGGTGGGCGTGGCTTGGTGGGCGCGCTTTGCCGCGCGTGTACACGCTTTGCACGCGCACGTGTACCGAATGCCGCGCTTTGCGCAGGCACAGAGGCGTCCCGGACGCACCTCCTGCAAGCCTGCACTCTCCCGGTCGCTTCAGCAGCCGCCGCGTGGCACTCGGCTGTGCCACGCAAAGCCGCTGCGCTTCAAAAGCGGAGGATGAAAGTGAGCATGGGAGCCCAGGTGGGATGGGTGGGCCCAACAGCAGAGAGGAGGAGAGAATCGGTTCGGTCTCCGCTGCTCATCGGTGCTCCTGGTTCACTAGAACCGGGTCGAACCAGTAATAGAATACCATCACTGGTTCAGGTCCTTGAGGATGGCGCCAGTTTGCTCCACAGGTGCACACCCATCATTTAGAAAAGACCATTTTTAGCTATAATACTTACCTCCTGCTGCGGCCCCGGTGTGCAGGGCTATAGGGTTACCGGTTCAGGTGAACCGGTCCAAACCAGTTGAATCCCACCAGCTGGATGTCGCTGCTGAAACAGGTGTGGCCACTGGACGATGTCCACGAAGAGCCAGCTCAACGGGAGGTTGAAGGGTTGAAGGTCCCAGGAGTGGTTCTTCAGACCAGGAATCGGACCAGCTGACTCGGTCTGGCTGGCCCAAAGCCACAGGCCCACATGGGACCATTTCAGATCTTCTCAAGGGCCCAAGAAGACAAGTCAGCATCTCCAAGGAGGTCAATTTTGACAGAAGAATTCTCTGGTCCAGAGAGTGGCGCGGTGGCCTAGAGGTGAAACAATCCGGAGGCTGTGAGTTCGATCCTAGGTAGAGGAAGATATTTCTCTCTCTGAGAATATATCTGCCGAATAAAACTCCGCGTTGGCAACAGGAAGGGCATCTGGTCAGTAAAACGCTCAGCTCCATTCAGTGGCCCAGACCCCACCCGGATGCAAGGGATTATTATGGGGTCATTAAAAGGAGATGAAACCGCTGGTCCGGAATGGTTTCTGGAGAGGATAAGCAGAACTGAGCGTGGAAACCCACCTCTGAGCAAATGGCCGCCTCAAGTGGGCAGGAACGATAGAAATGTGCAGGGTACTCTCTAGGAAGAACGATAGAAATGTGCAGGGTGCTCTCTAGGAAGAACGATAGAAATGTGCAGGGTACTCTCTAGGAAGAATGTTTCCTGCTTAAACAGGGGGTTAGACTGGAAGACCTCCAAGGTTCCTATTCCGTTACAACCATTGATTTAGTGACCAATCCATGTCACAACGGCACTGTGAAAAGAAGCTTACGACAAGCCCTCACACTTTACGACCGTTGAACCATCCCTGCGGCCGCGTGATTATAATTCGGACATTTGGCAACTGGCTCCTATTTATGACGGCTGCAACCTTCTGGGCCTCCTGACAAGCAAACTCAGCGAGGAAACTCTTTAACATCCGTGTTCCTAACTTACCGCGGCCGTGATTCGCTTCACAACTGTCCTAAAATGGGACAAAGTTCACTTCATGACTGTCTCGCTTAGTGTTGGAAAACTTGGTCTCCCTTGGGGTCGGAGGTCAAGGACTGCCTGTAATTACAATTGATGTGTAAGGGTAGTAACCGTATCAATTATGAAGGGCAACTCTAATTGTAATTAAGAGGCAGACACGGGGCAGATGATTCGCGGGGCGCCTCGGGGGTTGCCAATGAAGGGCATTCATACGGCACAACAACCGAAGCCTGCAGGGACAAAGTCTCCCCTCCTCTCCCCTCCCACGCAACCTGCCTCTCCCCACTGATCCTTTGGCAGACTTCTCATTCCACCCGCCGCTGTGGGGCGGCAGGACCGCCGTGCGCCGTGCGCCGCCGCCCTGCCCGCTCCCTCTGGAATTGAGCATCGCGCAAGCCGTGGCAAGCGAGCAGCAGCCGGGTAGATGGAAAAACCCTGTTTCCATGCAAAAATGTCAAAAGCGATTGCGGGAAAGCGTTCAAGCTGGGGGGCGAAATGCAGGGTGTCCTTTGTGCGAGTCGGATGTTTGTACAGCTCTGCCTCTGGAGACCTCCCATTAAGGACTGCGTCAATGAGATCCAGCTGCGGCCACAGGCTGGGAGCAGGTGGGGGGGGGGATAACGGTCCGTCTTGGCTTTGATCAGTCACATTTAATTCAAGTAGTCCTCCACTTATGGCCTGAGTAGAATAAAACAGAATAGAAATAGAAATTAGAATAGAATAGGAATTTAGAATAGAACAGGATATAGAATAGGATTCAATACAATTTAGAATAGAATAGAAATAGAAATAGAAATAAGAATAGAATAGGAATGTAGAATAGAATAGGAATTTAGAATAGGAATTTAAAATAGAATAGAATAGAATTCAATACGATTTAGAATATAATAGAATATTAGAATAGAATATAGAATAGAATAGGAATTTAGAATAGAATAGAAATAAGAATAGAATAGAATAAAGAATAGAGTAGAAATAAGAATAGAATAGAATAGAATAGAATAGAATAGAATAGAATAGAATAGAATAGAATAGAATAGAAATAGGCGCACGAAATACACTGTGTCGGGCGAATCAACTGAGCTGAAAATGACAGAAATATAGGACAGGATCGTGGGAACTACTGGTTCACTAGAACCGGTCCAAACAGACAGTGGCCCACCACTGGATGTGACCGGCAAGAGACGGTCCCTCAGATCACCTGGTCCCAAGCCACGAAGGGCTTTAAAGGTGACGAAGAGCACCTGGAAGCAAATCGGCAACCAATGCAGCTCCCGCAGGAGAAGTGTGATACCTGTGCACACTGGGGTCTGCGCAAAACCATGCGGGCTACTGCATTTTGCACCAACTGGAGCTTCCGGATGCTCTTTCAAGGGCATCCCCGTGTGGAGCATGTTGCAGTAATCAAGATGGGAAGTGACGAGGGCATGAGTGGCCGTGAGTAGGGATTGTCGACCCAGGAAAGGGCATAAGTGGTGCACAACCCGCAGTTGCGCAAAGGCCCTCCTGGCCACGACCGCCACCGGGAGTCGCGAGTCCAGGAGAACCCCCAGATTGCGCATAGGGTGCAGTGCCACCCCATCCAAGACCAGAGGCGGCAATTCTCCCTGAGCCAAGGAACTCCAAGCCCATAGTTACACAAGGTGTTTGGTTTCTACCCATTATTCTGTGGTTCGGAATCAAACCAGCTTAAAATTCAGAATAAAGTCAGTTTAAAATCTATGTGTATAAAAGCGAAATGCCCCTCACGCATCATCATGAAATCTCCAGAACTGTAAAGGCTACAAACTTGAAATTGGGCACGTCTGTTCCGCTTGGCTTCTAGGGGCTCCCTAAGAAAGGATTCGTCGAAATGACCCTCAGAGCATTTAGAGTATTTCCTATATTGTTGTTATTATTATTATTAACACGCTCTGATGCTAAGGAGTTCTACTCCCCACCTGAAAAGAAATCTCTTCCAAAGGCAAAACACAAGCAGAGGGGAGGAGGTTCAGTTTCAGAACACCAAGCAGCTTCAGTCCAGAACAGTTGAGCTAAGCCACGCCCAGGCTCCTTGCTGTCTCCTCCTTACTCACACAGCAAATGCCCTTTCAGTTTCCAAACAGCCCTCCACTCTCTCGCACACTGACAAGACGCTAGCCAGATGAATACCAAAGGATGCTTGGTAGGCAGAGGCAGAATCTGGCCCCTTATTTTCCTCCCCCGAAACTAAGCCCCACTGCCTAGTTTTGCAGCGGAGCACGGGGGATCGAGCTAGTTCAGAATAGTCAGGTTTTCACAGGGAATCACACACCGCTCCCCCCAAAAAACCTCCCCATAGCGACCACCTCGAGATGCTGCCGTGTTGGCTGCTCCCCCCACCCCCCATGCAGATGGCGAGAAGCGGTGGGCAACGCAGGTGGGGGCATCTCGCCACGGCATAAATCTCTTTGGCACCCCGAGCGGCATCTTCTCGGCAGCCGGCTTGCAACTCTCCGCTGCCGACTCAGCACTTCTGACAACGGCTGATTTAGAAGCCCAGCCTGGGGGGGGGGGGTTGGCCCCATAGAATGAGTGGGCCCTGGCATAAGACACCCACCCCCCCACTGCCCACCCACCCCCCAGCAGCCTCATCTGTCTCTGCCAGCACGGCCCCCAGCAGTGTGTCTGGGCACCCCGCTGCTGCTTCTGCTTTTCAGAAACATATTTTTCTTCTCCTCCTCCTCCTCCTCCTCCTCTCTTTATTTCTTTCCCCCCCCCCCGCCCCCCTTCTTTCCTTCTCCCTGTTAATAAAAAAAAGTTTGGCTTCGTACTTGCAGTGACCCATTAATGGGGAATTAATTAATGAAAGGGGAAGATTTAATAAGTCCCCTTGGGGGCTGGAACCATTCTCCACCTGCTGGCCTTCCTTTTTGCTTGGATGGCGCCGGAGGGAAATCATCCAAAAGGGTACGTTTCAATTAACAAAAGGCTTCGGAAAATTCTTCTTCACCTTCATCCAAAACCCTGGGCCCATGTGTGTGTGTGTGTGTCTGTGTGTCTGTGTGTCTGTCTTTTGGACAGGTTGGGAGGCCTTTGCACAATGGAAGGGGGGGGAGGCAGATTTATGCTTTCTTTTTCTTTCTTTTCTTTCTTTCTATCTTTCTTCTCATTCTTTCCTTCTCTTTTTCCTTCCTCCCTTCTTTCTTTTACTTTCTTTCTCTCCTTCCTTATTCCTTCCTTCTCTCCTCTTCCTCCCCCTCGCTTCTCTCTCCTTCCTTCTCCCTCCTTTTCCTCCCTCCTTCCTTTCCTCCCTCCCTCCCACCTTTCTTTCTTTTTCTTCCTTTTTTCTTTCTTTTCTTCCTTCTTTCCCTCCCATCTTTCTTTCCTTCCTTCTTCTTTTCTTTCTTTTCTTCCTTCCTTGCCTCCTTTCTCCCTCCCTTCCTCTCCTTCCTTTCCTTCCCTCCTTTCTCTTACTTTCCTTTTTCCTTCTTCCTTCCTTCCCTCCTTCCATTTCTTCCTCTTCTTCCCTCCCCCTTCCCTCTCCTTCCTTCCCTCCCCCTCTCTCTTTCTTTATTTTCTTCCTTCCTTCCCTCCTTTCTTACTTTCCTTCTTCCTTCCTTCTTCCATTTCTTCCTCTTCTTCCTTCCCTCACTTCCTCTCCTTCCTTCTTCCATCTCCTTCCCTCCCTCCCCTCTTTCTTTCTTTTCTTCCTTCCTTACCTCCTTCCCTTTCCTCCCCTCCTTCCCTCCCTCCCTCTCCTTCCCTCCTTCCTTTCCTTCCTCTCTCCTTTCTTTTGTTCTTTCTTTCCGTCTTCCTTCCTCCCTCCCCCCTTCTTCCATTTTTTCCCTCCCTCCCTCTCCTTCCTTCCCCCTTTCTTTCTTTCTTTCTTTCTTTTTTTTTTCTTTCTCCCCCCCCCCCCTCTGTCCTGGATTTCTGCATGAGAGATCAATCAAACAACCCATTGGGGTTTTTCCAAAGTGGCCCTTCGGACACCTTTTGTCAGAGGAAGGATTAGATGAGGGGATTAAATTAAATTAAATTAAATTAAATTAAAGGGATTCATTCCAGGTGCATTAGCTTCATTATGGGGCCACCGTAACATCTGCTGTTGCGTAGCCTTTGCTGCATGCAGAGCAGCCCCACTGTTTCCCTGCGTCCGGCTGGGAAAGCCTGTGGTTCGCCCACACAAGAAGTCTGGCCTAGGGAAGGTGGGGCCTGATTCTTCCTCCCAAATAAGTGAGGGGGTCCCTTGAGGCCTAACCAAGGCTTAAAGGGTGGTGGTGGCGGGAACCTGATAGCTGATCCTTGAAAGGCCGTCATGGGGAAGAGAGCCTCGGTTTGCTCCCCATAACGCCTGAGCAATGGGTGCAAGCTGGCCAGGCGGAGATCCAACTTAGAACTAAGGAAACTTAGGTTTCCCGACTGGCAGCAAAATTGACTGGGGGAAACGACTTCCCTCCAGAGGATGTCACTGCGCCAATCCTGGAGGCTTTCAAAAATAGAGCGGATAACCGTTTGACCGGGATGGTATTGAGTCTCCTGTCTTGGACAAGACTAGCGGACCTCCACGGCCCCTTTCAGCCCTAGGATTCTAGGATCTATCTGTCAGTCTGCCTATTCATAGACAGAGGGAGAGATATAAATATTATTTTATCACCCCTCCATCCTCCACTCATCATATCTGTCTATCTACAGTATCTATCTATCAATCATCCATCCATCCAGGCATTATCCAACACCTATCTGTCCATCCGTCTATCAGTCTGTCAGTCTATCTATCACTCTATCTATGTCCACCACTCTGTCTGTCTGTCTGTCTGTCTGTCTGTCTGTCTGTCTGTCTATCTATCTATCTATCTATCTATCTATCTATCTATCTATCTATCTATCTATCTGGCTGGCTGGCTGTCTGTCTGTCTGTCTGTCTGTCTGTCTGTCTGTCTGTCTGTCTGCCTGCCTGCCTGCCTGCCTATCTATCTATCTATCTATCTATCTATCTATCTATCTATCTATCTCTCTCTCTCTCTCTCTCTCTCTCTCTCTCTCTCTCTCTCTCTCTCTCTATCTATCTATTATTCTATCCATCATTTATCAATCCATTCATCCTATCTGTCTCTGTTTATTTTATAAGCAATCAATCTATCCATCCACCATTTATCAATCTATCATTCCCCCTCCCTCCATCTATCTACCATCTTTACATTTTCAATATAAAGCGTTGCTATGTTGGACTGGGGAGGGGGGTTGGGCTAGAAGACCTCTGAGGCCCCCTTCCAGCCCTCTTGAGTCTCTGTGCTCCTTTCCAGCTACATGGAGGTGGCCAACAACGTCCAGAAGGAGGAGACAGTGCTCAGCATCCAGTTTGTGTTGCTGGATTGCTCCCACCTGAAGGCCGCCGTGGTCCAGCACTGCAACGAATGGCAGAACAAGCTGACCAACCTGCTGAAGGAGATGGCTACCGGCCGCTTGCAGGAGCTGACCGCCTACCTGCAGGACAACGCGACCGAGTGAGTGTCCCGCTATTGATCAGGGGGGAATCCCCCTCCCTGCCCTTCCCTCTCTTTTCCCACGTCTCCTCGGCATAAAAAGGCGGTGTGGTAGCTCAGGATGGGCTTAAGGCGCAGGGTTGTGGGTTGGGAAAGCCGGCAGCTCAGGTTGGAGACCCCGAGCTCCACGCGAAGGGGGTGAGCTCCCGTTCCTCGCTCCAGCTCCTGGCAACCTAGCAGTTCGAAATGCATGCCAGCGCGAGTAGATCAATAGGTACCACTTCCGCGGGAAGGTGGAAACGTCTTTGGGCAGCACTTGAAATGGCCTTGAAATGGGGGGGGGGGGAAGCACCTTCCCGCAATACTCGGCAACGACTAGCGGAGTAAAAATCCCCGACCTGGCCTCCAACCCGCCTTTCGCACCCCGCAGCATCAGCCGTCCTCCGCAGACCCTGGAGGAGCTGAGCCGAAGCCTCCAGCTCCACGAGACGCTGCAGAACGACCTGCCAAAGATCGAGGGGCAGATCCCCCCCATCCACGAGCAGTTTGCCATTCTGGAGAAGTACGAGGTTTTGGTGGACGAGGAGGTAGGTCCACGGCTGAGGATCTTTGGCTGACGTGGCCCGGGGTGCCTTTTTTTCCCTCCTCTGGCCGAGGTCAGCAGCCTCTGTACAGGTAGTCCTCAACTTAGCAACACTCTGTTTAGTGACTGAAATTGCAACAGCTCTGAAAAAAAAAAGTGACCTAAAAGTGGTCCTCACACTTAACAACGGTCACAACATCCCTGCGGTCAGGTGACCAGAATTTGCATGCTTGGCCGCCAGCGTGTTGCAGTACCCTGCGGCCGCGTTACCGCCATTTGCGTCCTTCTGACAAACAGTCAGTGGGGGAAGCCAGATTCGCTTAATGAACACGAGTTTCACTTAACAAACACAGAGATTTGCTTAACCTCAGCCAAAAAAAAAAAAAAAAAACGGTTGCAAAACCAGGAGCAGCTAACTTAACAATGTCTTAGCAATGGACATTCTGGCCCAGGTTTTGTTTGTAAGTTGAGGACCCCCTGTATTAGATTGGCCCCGGCCTCATTTTGTTGGTCCACACACCCCACAACTCCCGTCACAACATTGTGGGTGCTTGTCTCCGCTGGTTCCCCACCTCTTTTGTGCTCAACGCCGATTGGTTTCCCGTCCCGCCAGGTGCTGCAGCTGCTGGGGGATCTGAATTCGGAGTGGCTGGCTTTCCAACAGTGCCTCCTGGACGGCGAGACCATGTTGAAAAAACACAAGGAGAAGTTCAAGACGGGCCTGATCCACTGTGCAGATGACTTCAAGAAGAAAGCCCAAAATCTCCTCCAGGACTTTGACATGAATGGTGGGTATCTCCTCTCCCTCTCGGCCCATCATCCTCTCCTGAGAACAAAAATGTGCAGGAATCTTCCAACTAAACTGCTTTATTTATTGCTGAAAGCCTCTGTGCGGGAATATTCTAACTAAGCTGCTTTATTTATTGCTGAAAGCCTCTGTGCGGGAATATTCTAACTAAGCTGCTTTATTTATTGCTGAAAGCCTCTGTGCGGGAAT